TGGAGAAGAAAGGGAGGGAAAAAGAAAAAAAAAGCCATGGGCTAGAAAAAGATCTCAAAAAGCAAATTTTTTTTAGAGATGAAGGATAATGGATAGTGTATAATTAAAGAAAGATTCTGCAAGAGTGCATAAGATAGTATTATAGTATTTGCATTTGAAATAGTTTATTGGAATATTTAATAAAATATTAATGTTTAATAATGATAGATTTCAATATTTAATAAAATATTAAGGAGAATGTGTAAAATGATTAATGCTTAGTTATAGTTTAATTCGTTATTGTCTTAATGTTATTATAAACTTAGTATTTTATTTTCTTATTCTAAAATAATGTACTAATCAGAATTAGAATTAGAATGGAAATTATACATTTAACTATACTATAAGTTTATTATTCTTTTATTTTAAGATCTAATATGTAGAATGTATTATGCAGAATCAGGATGGAAATTATGTATTATTTTAAGTTTTACTTTAGGGGAAGGCATCATACTTTAAAAGTGATTACAGGGGACATTTTTTGTTAAAGAGAAGAGATAAATAGATGATTGGAAAAGAACGGACAAAAGATATAAGCATAATGATTTTGAAATAAGATGAAATAAATAAAATAATTAAGAGAGTGAAAAGATGGGAGAAGTTATATAGAAAATATAAAATGGTTAATAAGATATGAATGGTATATAAGGTGAGCATGAATTTGATTTAGGTCTGTTAAAAAAGATGTAACCCGGGGCTAAACCACTTTTCAAAAGAAGTTTTATGTTTTATGTTTTGTGTTTTGATTAGTTATGTTTGATTGTGAACTAATAAAACCTTGGAGGAATGAAACTAAAGGGAGAGAAATTTGGAAAAGACATGTATAAATGACAACTAAGGAGGGTTTTTTTTATGTCTTGTTTTATGTTATGTATTTTGTGTGCTTATGACTGATTGAGAATTACTAAAACTTTGATAGAAAGAAATATAATTGAACAAAAGTGAAGGGAGAAATAATGAGAAATTTGGAAAAGATATATATGTGTAAATGGAAATGTGATAATGGGGAACTATGTTTTAAAAAATAATGCTTTATTTGCCTTGTTAAAATTTATAAGTAATTCTTAGAAAGGAGGTTTTATACTTTTATGTTTTATGTTTTGTTTGTCTTCAAAAATCAATAAAACTTGTTCATAAAAAAGAAAGAAAGTATGGGAGCCATTTCTACCCAATATTCAATACACAGTGAGACTATTAACAATTAGGGGATATTCTTTTTTATTAGAGTAAGAAAATACATTATACATATATTTTTCTTAATGTAATTGTCTCAGGAGTTGGTTCTCTCCCTTTAGAGTGCTCAGATAAGAGAACACATCACAGCCCATCCAAACATTGCTCAATATTGGATCTTGACATCCAACAATTGAACTTTCTCATGCATCTTCATATCACATACACACTATTCTTAGCAACTACCGTAGCTTCATGAGAATCATGCCCATGGCTTCCACTGAAAATAGGTTCCTAATTATAGAAGAAGAATTTCAGAAATGGGGAAATTCACAATTTGTAAATGACAAAACAATTTAATAGGGGAGACTCAAGGCATCTCAATTCACTGGTAGTTGCTGGATCACAATTTCAAGAGATGCAGGGAAGGAACATTTTCCTAATATCTCATAAATCTTAAGAGCATTGCCCTTACTTCTTGGAAAAATATTAAGGGAGGCATATAATCATTGACAGCTAGTTTGTTGTGTAGTGCTTAAGATACCAGGCTAGAAACCAGGAAACCGTGAATTTTAGTCCTGCCTTAGGAATGAAGTCAGTTGGATGACCTTGGGCTAGTTACTTTCTCTCAGCCCTAGGAAGGAGGTAATGGTAAACCACTTCTGAAAAACCTTGCCAAGAAAACTGCATGGAGTCTGAATAATGTCAGATCCACTCTCCAATTTCCTCAGTTTAGTTACTCTCCCTGTAATACTAGGTCAAGTACAATATGCTGGATATCAATGTCTTCTGTTCACAGTAGATTATACTATCAATTTTACTAAAAATCATGAGTGCTGCTCCACTGTTCTTTAATTCAGGATCACATAAAATAATTTCAGTTTGCTTTGCTGTTTTTACATTTTTCTTCCATTGTTTCATAGTAACAGAATCTGGGAAGACAACAAATTAAGCCACGTCAGCAGAATTGTCAGTAGAACTCTATTTGTATTTTTTTTCTCTAAAGTCTTGACTGTGAAAGTAATATTTAAGTGGCAAAAAGTCAGTCTCAAGACACTGAATGAAATGAAATTAAGCAGAAGAAATTAAAATCATAAAACACACCTGAAATAGAAAATACATATACTTCAAACCCAGAATTGTTTTTTACAAACAGGTTTATTTATAGTTTTACTGGAGCACAAAGTTGAATGACAGCAAATATTTTTTTTCTATACAACAATAGAATGGGCAGTGCAAAATATGTATTTTTAAAAAATCTATAAACAAACATTCTGTCACTTTCACTCAGAAGTCTTATTCTGGGCCTCCATTCTCCCTTCATTTAAATTGCAATTAAAATTGTCCATGTGTTGCACAGTAAAGACAAGAAAACTCCCATACCCCGTCTGAAAGACACAAATACCTAATCCAATCATCTGAAGATATCAAACATTTAGTGAGATTAAAATCAACCAGGCTTCACAATAAGACAAATACAGGGATAAAACAAAAGGCATAAGCGCAAACATTCACGCATACATTTTTAAAAGTCAGGCATTGATTTAAAGCTGCTTTTCCTGAGAGACTAGCACTGTTAAAAGGTATTGTGGCCACTAGTATCCTTTTCGTTACCAAATATTTTCATTACCCCCAAATTTTCTCTCAAATGTCAGGGTCAATATAAGAGAAAACAAACAAGTAAGTTTTCATAGCTGTAGATACAGCAAGATAATGCAATTTTCTGTAAGTAATTTCTCAAAATCCTAATATGGTTGCTGCCATCCTCAAATTTGTTTACAGATTTAAATTTTAAGTGGAAAGTTGGCATGCTGTTTAACCATTTCCAGCAATTTCTTACTTCCACAGTAAAGTGCATGCAGACCACACAGAACTGGGCATACTGATCAAAACAGGTATTTATTAGCAAATGGGAGTCCCAGCATGTTCATTCGATGAAGTGCTCTCAATCTTCCAAATAGGTCATCAGCTCAGAAAGACTGGCCCTGTCTATTCTAGAAGTATTTTGAAGCAGTCAAGGATCAGCACTATTTTATAAACCTCAACTAGCTTCCGTATTGGATTATAAGAATTAACATGCAGCACTTAAGGCAGAAAAACATTGTGCTACTGACTCAAACGGTTTACACTTTTTAATCTGAAATAACAACTTTCTCCATTACTTTGGAGGGGAATTAGATATAATCTGCTATGAAATGCTGTTCATTTCAGGAGGTAAAAAAGACAATTACTGAGAGCGCAGAATCTATACTTCTGTAAAATGCAACACACAGGAATGTGCTTAAGGTAATTTTGAACCAAAATTGTATTGTGCTATGATATGTTTCTATCAGAACTATTTGTGGAATATTCAATATTTTGCTTTAGTTCAAGAGCTCGATGAAGGCAAAAAAAAATATAGCAATAGCACTTAGACTTATACACTGCTTCACAGTGCTTTACGGTCCTCTCTAAGTGGTTTACAGAATCAGCATATTGCCCCCAATAATAATTTTACCCACCTTGGAAGGCTGAGTCAAACTTGAGCCTGCTGAGATTCGAACTGCCAAATTGCAGGCAGCTGGCAGCCAGCAGAAGTAGCCTGTAGTATTGTATTCTAACCACTGCACCATAAAAATCAAGCTTCTAGTCTAAGAAGTTATCTCTACATATATGGATTCTGGTCATGAGCACTTACTCAAAAGATATCAATCAAATGTTGCATGATGCAGCTGCATATAATCTGCCATCTCAACCATTGTTTTCTACCTTTGTGTGCACATTCCCAATCCAGGGCCTATCATACAATCATATAGGAGATCGATGTACATTAGCTTTCTTTATGTATGTTTCTAATCCAACCAGCAATTTTATACAGAAGCTACTTCTGCACACCTGCCCCATTCAAGAGTATAAGGGTCTGTCTTAAATGCATATAAAACATATATCGAGTTTCGTGTGATTTCTGTGCCACTCTGTGCAATATCTAAGAGAAGTGGGAGCAATATAAGATCTGTTTCTCTCCACTCTAAAAGCTAGAGATGTGAAAGTCCACACTACTTATGGAAGGAACTTTAACATTCAAAGCATGTACATTCCACATACAAAGCATGTACATAGGTTACAGTTCCAGATTAGAAAGCATGAAAAAACAGAAGTGGCAAATCCAACAAACACTCTCTTTAAAGCTTTGAGATGAAGGCATGGAATTACCACCAGAGCTATGGAATAACCACAGAAATAAGAGTTTTTTCACATGTTATAAGTCAAAGGCACAAAAGCCAGATATTCCTGATTATACTTGTAGCTTTCTACCTATGCAGTAAATTGAGCCATTTTACTTTATTTGCAGAAAAATTACATTATTCTTGAACATATCACTGTCTTAAAAGTAAAGCTTAGTGTCCAGCCTTGAGTGTGGCTAGGTTTTTGTTTAACAGCAGGCTTTGTACACATGCAACCATTTTTATTGTCTTTCAAAGTCAAATCTCACCCAGTTCCATGAGGGTGTTGCAGTTCTCTTAGTTGTAATGGTGGGAAAGCCAAACTTGCAATCTCCCATTTCCCCACTCAAGAGTCAGCCCCTTTTCATTTATGCAGTAAACCCGAAAGAAAGTCAAGTTGCATTATGTAACATAATGCAATTATGTAACAAGGGGCATCATTCAACTGCAAGTAAGATCTGACCCTATTTGTCCTGGTTTTAGTTTAAAGTCTGAAGCCCTTACAAAAGAAATGAATTAAAAGTTTAAAAATGGAAACTGGAGGTATAAAAGATCAGGAAACAAGTAAAAAAAAACATTATTAATATGAACAGAGTGCAGAAGCTTTTTCTCATGATGAGCTTAGAAGATAGTTTCTTTGTCTGAAATAGTGTTTATCAACTTTGGCAATTTGATGGTATGGAGAATTCTGTCAGATGAACACTATACATCTTCAAATTGCCAAAGCAGTATTAAAAAAATACTGCTTTAAGGGGAAAAGCAGTACAAATCAGTTATAAAAGCCTGCAATTAACTTCCTCTAACCATCTGGAAAGAGAGGAGACAGTAGAATAAGCCCAGTTAATTTCAAATTCACATCCAAGATGAATTCCAAAACCTGATGGTTTATTGTATCAGCTTATTCCATCTGCTCATTTCAAGACTTCCTTAACAAGGCACTTGAATCAAACTATAACTGGATCAGTAACAAAGCGAAGGCATTATGTGATCCTCAAGTCTCCAAAAACTACACACTTTAATCTTCTTGTTAGGACATTTAGTAAATAAGAGGTGTTTTTGTTTTTTTAATCCAGTGGATTTTCTATCTTTACAGACTGAGTTGCAGGAGAGTGAATAAGATGCCGTATTGTGCAGCCGATCCAAGTCCAAATATACAGAGAAGTGGGTCATTTCAGAATGATATGGTAGCCATCGTTACTTTCAGCTGTAAGATAAGGGTGAAAAAAACCTGTCAGGAATTCATTGAAATATTTATGTTTTCAGTCCTAAAAATATATCCAATTCTACGGTCTGTACTTTGCTCGGATTTCAGTTGTACGACAGGAGGCTGTAAAAATGCCATTCTGAAAAAGCATTTTGAATGTATTAGAAAGGCATATCAGTGTTAAAGTATGGGATTTTTTTTTTTTTTTGCTAGAAAATATAAACTTTTTCAGTGGGAGGCAAACTACATACAGGTAGGTAGAAGATGACCTATCCTTTCTCTCACTCAGAATATCAGTCATAAAAAATAATAATCAAAGGAAGAAAGATAAGTCTAATTCACTTCTGCAGTTTCCTTCTCAGAACACCTACACAATGATATGCAGCCTTTTTACTGATTTGGCTCCTTTTGTCAAATTCCCATTCAAAATATTCTAACAATTGCCAGGAGGACCTCTTGACCTACTTGGAGAAGCAGCTGGAATAACATAATTATTGCATTTAGAAGAGGGCTCCATAGGTGCCATCTGGCTATATCTTCATATTTATAGTTGAATGTTAACCAAAGAATTTTTATAAAATGCTTATAGGTTGTTTCTTGCTTTTTGCATCTCTCGGTGGGAGACCTGGAAAAACTACTACATTATGGCAGGAAATGTATGCAAATATACCTTTCAATGTAGAAATGAGGAAACAAGATTCGTCTTGAAAGTTTTGTACCATCTGGATGAAGAGAAAAATGGAAGATGTTTTTATTTATTTCATCATGCATTTTTCTATTAAGCTTTATTTAACAGGAAAATATTGATCAGGCATGAGCTACAAACTCCCAATTCTGGATGGCAAAAAGGAGTGTATTTTTTTATCCTACCCAAAGTTTTTCCAGAGGTTGGTGGCTCTAAACAATGTGATGTTATTTTTAAAATAAAATCATGTAGATACTGTCTCTTAGTATCAGCAAACCCAACCATTAAGGAAGGAGGATTCCCATTCAAATTTCGGGGGGAAAAGGTTTGGTTTTCCCCCACCATTCCTTTTATCAAAAAAGAAAGTAGGAGAATGTAGGAGAAAACAAGTTGCCTTTTTCATTGTAGCAATTTTTGGGCTCTAAAACCCACATAATGTAACTACTACCACTACCACTACTATTACTACTACCACTATACGGACATGCATACCAGAAGTGGTATTCAACAGGTTCTGACCAGTTCTGGAGAACCGGTAGCAGAAATTTTGAGGAGTTCGGAGAACCAGAAAATACCACCCAGCCCCCATCTATTCTCTGCTCCTGAATCCCAGCTGATTGGCTGGGTCTTCTTTTGTTGCCCTGCCCGGAAGAACAGAACTGGAAAACAGGTTAGTAGGGTGAGGAGGGAATGGGATTTTATAGTAACCTTCCCCCAGGAATGGGGAGAGAATGGAGATTTTACAGTATCCTTCCTCTGGAGTGGGGTGGGGATGGAGATTTTACAGTATCCTTCCCCTGCCACGCCCACCGAGCCATGCCCACAGAACCAGTAGTAAAAAATTTTTGAATCCCACCACTGATACAAGTGCTCAAGTACTGAAATGCACAAGTGGATTGTAAATGTTGACAGACATCAGTACATTTAGCACTTAACCTCTCTAGCCATTTGTTCAGATATGCAAGGTGCTACGATGCTCATGGGTGACTCTAGGATCATCTCCCTCTTAGAGTTCTTACAAGCATTCAAGGTTGCTTCTCTCCAAACTCACTTTCCAAATGTAGAAATATGCACCAAAATTAAAGTCAGGGCTACTAGCATATATGCATAAATCAAGCATGAGGTATAACCAGCTTCTGCCTTTCCTTTACATCCCCTGCTGCCGCCTTACCATTAGAACACAAAAATAAGGCAATAGCAATTGTTAATCAGTAACCTAAATATTTAATGAAAGTCTTTTTGCACCAAAGTTAGTCAAGGCCATTCCACTTTCTAAATGCTGCCTTAAAGCATTTCATGACTATTCAAACGTTACAAGTTTCTGAATCATCCGGGTGAAACAGCATAGCAACTTTCAGAGCAAACATTACAAACCTGATCCATAACTGCATGGGAATTTTGCGCTTAGCTATAACTCCTGTCCAGAGGTCAAATACAATGAAACTTCTTAAGTGATTCTAAAGCATGCAACAGGTTACTCAGAAAAAGCTGTAATATTTGGCAGGTAAATATAGGGTATAATTAAGTGAGATATATTTAGAAGTTGTTAGAAGAAAGAAGGCCCAGTTTGCTCCAAAGCAAGAAACTTCATAGTTATTAGGGCTGGTATAACTTACTTTTACCAAAATGTATATATTTCAGTTCATATGATGCTATCTAGGAAGATTTGTATCATTTTCCTTACCCTCTGCCTATCAGAAGATTAATCAAAATGAAACAAAGCCAGAGATTTTGCAGTTGAAATCACTTTCTAAAATGTAAATTGAGATTGTCTGACTTCCTTTATTTTTCCTCAGAATTAACTATATTTAAATCCACTCCTATTTATCTCAAACTTTCATCAGTGAACTGGAGATGGGGGGAAGTGACATATTACTACTTTTAAACAATTGAAGATCTAAATTTCTTAACAGATAACTACAAATAATCCCAACTATTGCCATGTTTCTCCATCCATGCCTTAATCATCTTTCAATACTAGCCTTTTGTAGGCAATATTTCAAAATATTGTTTTGTCTGCCTATTTATTTGCAGGGCTTATAGCCTGCTCTGATTTACCATCTCTGAGTACTTTTCCCCAAGTCTGTAATCAGGGCTGGAAATAGGTAATATGATAAAAAACAGATTGGCAAAAAAAAACTAAAATATTAAATAAAGCAAATTAGGAAATTATAAAGAAAAAAACTAACTGATTCTACTCACTTTAGTACCATATAAATTCTACCAGAAATTTCTGATTTTAAATATTTCAAGGATCAAGGCATCTTAAATTGATGAACTTTTTTTAAAAAAGCAGTAAAGAGTGATTAAGACATTTTAATGTTTTGAAGCGAAGTCATTTGACATTATTCAGGATGCCTTGGACATCAAAATCTAGTATCAAGTGCAAAACTCTTCTGGTTAAAACTCTTACCTCATTGCTCACTAATACATGGATCCCTGTAGGTCCCTGCCGATAGATCCGGTTTATCTGCTGTGGGGAAATACTGTACAAGTTTGCAATCTTCTCCATCAACTCCAGTGTCGTTAACTCTTCTAAGAAGATAGCATGGTATACTGCAACAGTATTGGAGAAAGAAGTACTTTCAGGAGAGAACATAATGGCAAGTTGCAGGTGATGTGATTATGTGAGACCCTTTTTTGTGTTAGTCAACCCATCTTTCAGCCCAACCCACCTCACAATGTTGTTGTGGTTGTAAGGAAAATAACAGAAGTACTAAGTATGTTCCCCACCTTGAGTTATTTATAAAAAAATAATAAAGATGGGATTTTAAAAATCCTAGCTAATGTCATTGACTGCTACAGGTCAACACATTATTTGCATAATAAATAGCTATAAATTATTTATTATGTTTTGATGGACATGCTATTTGCATTTCATATGATTCAAAGTACCCTCTCCTATATTTTATTCATCCAAAACTTGACAAAGAGTGTTGAAAATCAGACATCATGCTGGTTGACACACTCCTCAAAGGTTTTTCAGGAAGCAGGCAAGAAATCTTTTGATGTTGTATGTCTTCCAGTGAAAGCCAAAATCCTCTTTTAAAAATAAGTTTCCCACTGTCTGATTCAAAAGGTAACTGCAGGGTTACAAACCCATGCCTAGCCCTTGGAAAGAGATCCCATAGATATGGTCAATTACTGACTCCAGTATCAATATTTCACCTAAACCATTAGATGCAGTAATTGCTTGCCCTTTAGGTTGAATGTTTAAACTTTAAAACCAACTCATTTAACCTTGCAAGGAGTGTGGGACATGAGAAGAATCCTTCTGTGATTAGGAGGAAAAGACACCGTGGAGACTTATTTCACTATAGTTATGAATAGGGGTAAAATCATGAATATGCCTCAACCACAATAATTAACAAAATGGGATCTCATTTTGGTGATTTGACATATATTGCTTTGGAGGCCACTTGATTCATTTCAGACCTGAATTAACATTACTGACAGAGTTCTCCTAATGAAGACATGAAGCGTGACAAATTTCACTTCACTAATGACCAGTTAGATATGCTTAGAATTTTTTGAGCTTTCTTCGTTTCTTAGCAGAATTTCAAGGCATATTTGTTTCTTTTGCATATTGTCTCCCAAAGCTTAAAAAGCATAGCTATTTTTGTAGGTGACAAGACTTCAAATTTGAGAATTCAACGGGGATAATTTGGTTTCCTTTGAGACCGTGTGGCAATATTTGGTCATGGCATATATCATGCCATGACATAGATAAAATTCTGGCAAATTTCAGACACTGTAAGAACAATGGATCAATGATGAAAAAAAAACCCATTCTTTTTTTTTTCTTTATAAATTTGATTGTGGAAAGTGCAACAGGGCAGAAGGATAATAAATAATAAATGTGAAGCAAATAGCAGCAAGGACAGAAACACTGAATAATGAATACATTGTTATTATATTGTTTTAACATCCTTCTATGTTAAACACTTTAATTGGAAAATTCTGGTAAAACTACTCACTATGTTAGAACGTAAAGCTGTCACTTAAAAATTGTGATTCCCATCATCCCACTTTGGAATTTTCCTTATTTATATATAAAAAAAAGACTGTGCTATGGAATCACTATACAAGATTTCAGGATGGCTCCAGTTCTACATACCATCCATTCTAGAAATACTCTAGACATGCCCTGAATCTTCCAGAATGCATTCAATAGGGTTTTTCTGGATCTAATTCAAATGCTAGATTTATATGTCTAATAAAATCATTTTTATAATGTCTTAAATTCTATGAAATGAAGCATAAAAGCTCTCAAACAGTTCAGATTCTACCCAAATGACACTTACTACAAAGAGTATCATCTCCATTCTCTCGTTTTTGATGATGATGAGTCCGATTTTGCTCTTGACAGACATAAATGGTCATCTTAGGCCTTACATTCCTAAAGGCAAAACGAAGTTTTCTGTTCAGTTTTTGGCATCGTAGGCAAAAGTACACTTCTCTGATCTTAATCAACAGCTTTAACATGACTGCCCCAAGGATGCAATCAGTATGACTTCTGCTTAAGCAAGGGCTTGGACTAGAAGGTCCCTTCCAACTCTGTTATTCTTATTCTGTATCAATAAATCTATTTCTGTATTCTGTAGTTGAACAGTAAGGTACAAACAGAATGGAGGAGGACATATGGGATTTTTATAAGCAGCAGTAATAATCACTGATGATGCAGTTACAGTTTTAAATTTGGGCCTCTACCTTCCACAATATTCACATATTTCAACCCACAGTAACTGCTTTTAGAACAAGAACTATAACAAACCTTCCTTTAATGGCATTAAAAAGTCGAATGCCATCAGCTGGGCCACAAATCTGAACAAAGTCTTCTTTGGACATCTTCAGTAAGTCGGCACCTATACATTTCAAGCACAGGTGATTTTCTTTTTCCTTCCAAGAACATATATCCAAGAATACAGACCTTTCACAGATGTTTTATGACAGATGCTTTTGCTGGCCATACATGCTAATTAGGAAACAGGGGGGCGGGGACAGAAAAGGAGGAGTTTTGCACATAGTCAAAAGCCGATGTGTACAAATATGCATAGTTAAACTATTCTACAGAAATGCCAACACATGACCTATGCCAAGTAGAAGTGTACCCCTTTTAAGCATACATTAATACACATACCTGAGAAACTTGAAAATAGTCTACAGAACTGAGAAAACCTATTTCGATGAAGCCACTGCTGAGCATCTTGAATAGAAGCAGAGGGAAGGAGATGCTACATTGCAAAAAGAATAAGAAGGTCTTGAAATGAACTGTTCATCAGTGTCCTAAAAAAGAAAAGCACCACATTAACATGATCCCAGATACTTACATCATTGCTGGAAGGCAGGAGCTCCACCTGATGAGTTGGAGAACTGTTGCTAAAAAAATGTACAGAGTTGAGAAGAAGAAAAAGAAAGCATTTTTAAATCTCTCATTTAATCATGTTGTCCATTCCCCCAAAACCCCTCCACCACACAGCCTGGTTGATACAGTGAAACATCTAAAATTTATTATTATTATTATTATTATTATTATTATTATTATTATTATTATTATTATTATTATTATTATT